ATGGACTTCCTGAACATTTACTCATTGAAACTAGGCAATCTGCTTGGATTCCTTACGTACGAAATAGAGAGTTTCGCTCAATTGTCAACTCTGCATCAATGTCGACAACATTTTCGTCGGCGTAAGATTCTCTTTCTGCCTCGCTGTTGAACTGGAATACATGCGAGTCATCTGCGATTTTGTAAAGTATTCTGCCTGCCGTTTCTTCTTTAAACTGCCAACCTTTCCAAAACATTGAAGGATATTTTAGTAACATATTGTTCTTCTGAATGCCTTGAAATTTTTGATTTGTTAAAATCAACCATTCTCTAGAATTAGGTGAGTCTAGGGCGTTTTCACGAAAGTGACCTTTTTCAGCACTAGGTTTACAAAGCATGAATTCCAGAAATGGGCGGGATTTTGTGTGAAGGTGTGGAAATTCACCAATTTGCCATAGTTTTTTGAGTGCGTCGTCGAGGTCAGTCCGGGCTTATCAGATTGTTGGTGATTCGTACTTAGAAAAGCAAAAAATCACAGGAATTACTGGCTTAATGGAGGGCACACCTATGCATTTCTTGACAATGTTCCTATCTCTCCTAGCACTTGTAAATGGAATACCATGTATCTGTAGAACTTCAAGGATTTGATGACGTGCAAGAACGCTGCTGCTTTCAAGCGTTCTTTACTGGCAGATCCGCAGACTTGGATATTTTTTCCAAGGCAAGCCACACATGCTCGTACATTTTCAAGAAGCTGTGGATACCGTCTAAAATACTGAATGTTTTTATGGAAAAGCAAAAAAGTTTTTGTTTTAACTTTCTTCTGACGAAGTCCATCTTATCGCAATTATCCGTTTCAAGTTGATGAAGCGTTCATCTTCTAAAGTTTTGTTCATTTCTAGTGAGACACGTTTCCGTGATGGAGCTGCAAATTAGAACGCAATTTGTTGATATGCTGTCGCAAACTTCCTCCATTGCAAAAATGCCTCGCTGGCTTGAGCTAGAGCATCAGCTAAAGCGAGTTCAATTTTGTGTGCCATGCAGTGTACCCATATCACAGGGTCAGACAAAAGCGCATTGATCTCCTCCTGCTTAGCAACTTTTGATGCCAAGATATTTCTTCGAGAGTGCGAGATGTTTTTATTGAGTATGCCTCGAAGCCCTCCTTGTGCACGCATTACCGACGCTCCATCCGTCGCTACCGCAACAAGATTCCAAACAAACTCGTTGAGCAACCCTGTTTTTCGAGAGTATGCATAAATCGACTCGAAAATGTATTTACCCGTCTCAGGTTCCAACAGCTGGAGCGCTTCAAGGAAGTGGGTTGTGTGATGCAACGTAGTTCGATCCGGAAAGCGCACAAAGAGTGAAAAGATTTGCTTGCTATCAGGATCCGTGGATGCATCTACTAAGAGTGAAAATGGAGATTGGTTTTTTCTCAGGGAGTCGATCAAAGTGTCTTTCATCTCTTTGCTTATACAACCAGTCAATAGATGCGTTCGCTCACCTTCCCGTTAATGCTGATAACGACGTCATCCACAGCACCTTTTTACTATTATCTTGCTCCACCTCGCTCTTACAATGTGTTGGCTTTTATGGGTCACCGGAGCAAGTGCTTTTTAGAGCCGGGAAGCAAAGAAGCCCTAACATGCTGTAAACCAACACATAAAACCATTCGAAAGCTGAGTTCATGGAATTCGAAGCAGATCGTCAGCTTTATTCTAGATCTTCTGTGCCGCAAGATATGAGGGATTTTATGTACCCTATTTTCAGGTGTATAAGCCGCACCCTTTTTGCTCTAAACGCGAGCAGATTCAGGCGTGCCGCCGCGCATATGTCTCGCGAAGCGGTCGCCTTATCGCATACTGCTCTCACTTAACGCGCTCCATGATGACAGTCAGTCTTTTGGCGTGTTCGCCTTTAGAGCGAAAAGGGTGCGGCTTATACACCTGGGCCGGTAGTAATCTACCCTACCTGGTGGCATCAAAGATGCCGGCAAGTTGGCACACATCGCGGAAAGATGCCAACTCCGCCGGCAGCTCGCGGAGTGATTGTAGGTTTTAATAATCTTATGTAATCTTAGCACGCAATCATTTCGCTTCCACCACGTTAACCATTCGACCATTCGGTCAGCCATTTCCGTTTGCACCGCCAATAGGAGGAACGCGCTGGTAAATGGCTGCCTGTAAGAGAGATCGATAGATTGCGTGAGAGACTTTGACCTGAAAGAACAGCTGATTGATATGAGCGAGAGAGGGGCGAAATCGGTGCAAACGAGATTTGTAAGGGATTGCCAAAAAAATGATGTTTTTAATGATTCTAAGGCATTACTGGATTTATCCTCTGTAAGAAAATCGTCGTTCTAAAAAAGAAAACTCATATAATGAGAAAAATGATAGTTTTTTGATGAAAAGTAGAATTTTTGATTTTTTCGCCTGACGTAAATTGTGTGATATCGCCGCAATTCGCAAACTCGCAGATACTGTCGGCAAAGGTGCCACCACCTCGACGTGGTAGGGGCACGTCGAGATGCAGGCAGCTCCTTCTCTCAAAAGAGCACGCTATTTCCCGCGCTCTCTGACCTGCCGGCAGCTGCCATCTCGCGTATTACGACGAGCTGCCGGCGGGTTGCCGGCAGCTCCTTCTGCGCTTCCAGATATTTTCCCACAGGAGGATTTCTAGAACCGCAGATTTCTATGGAGTTTTCTACAGAGTCTAGGTGGCATCTTTATCGAGAAAATTTTTTGGAAATAGGCCTGGGACCGCCCAAATTTGGGGTTTCACTTTCTGGCCACCTCAAGGAAAAGGTGCCAGCGACCTGCCGACGAGACCTGCCGCCAGGTCGGGGGGATTACTACCGAAAATAGGGTACTTCAAAAATCAACTGATTTTTTGTCCTCACTTTCTGCTCTCCAAATGAATGCTACGAGGATAAATAAATAATATGAATAAACATAAATACCGTTTCTTTAGTAAAAAGTACCGTTTCTTTAGTCTTCTTGTTTGAGGTACTTAGCCTGCAAAACCTTTTAATAACGATTTTTATCATGTTATCAGAGTACAATACCAATCTCAGCCCAGGTGAAGGGGGTAAACCGGAGTTTGGCCTCAAACTGAAGGGGGTAAGATCCATCACTCCCTCTATCGCAACTATGAACAGAAGCCGTCTGGGGCGAAGCCCCGGATGTTATTATCTTGACTGTATCGGAACGAATGTTAATGAAGCAAATACAGGAAATAATATCTTTAAGTTATCTCAGCGAAACCGAAAATTTGCGTCTTCATGGCCTTTTTTTGAAAAGAAGTTTTCTATAAAGTTTTCGCTAGAATTCAGTACAACATTTCTCATTAACCTCTTATTTGACCAAAATCGAGTTTCAGAACTTGAAAGCTGTTGGAGTTGAATAAAAACGAGGAACTGCGCTTAAATCTTGAGCAGAAAGTCGCGCACGAAAATGCTGGTCTATCTGGTTAATGAGCGACAAACGTGGGACGTTGTCAGTTCTCCTCGTCGTGTCATGACGATCAGAATGATATATAATTTGCAGGGTTTCGTTGAGACCCCGCGGAGATCTACGACCAGAGCCAATCCCGTCAGCTCTGGTCTGTCTCCGCTCATCGTCTGCGTCTCCACAGCTGCGCGCTACCTCGCTACCCCCGCGGGGCGCGGGGCATTTGGCTCCGGTACCCTTTTCTTTGCTGTTTCGAACCAAATTATAGCAAGCTATATATCATTTTAATCTCTTGATCTCTGTTTTTACGATGACAACGTCCCAAACTACATTTTTTGATTTAGTCGAGAAATCCGGCAAAAATCTTGTTTTCAAAAATTTCTTGTTTTTTCCTAGTTTAACTCTTTACACGCAGTTTTTTCGTGCATTCTGTAGATCTTGCTCTTGTTCTTAGTGCAGACAACCACCCAGCCCTTATCTCTTCGATTGTGGTGAAATTTTTCGCGAAAAGTTGTAGAAAGTGCGTTTTTGTTGCCTTGTTCTGTTTCAGTGCTTTCGCAGCGATTTTCTTCCAGCTTGGGTGATTGTTGCTCGGAACAATAAGCGCAACAATCCAGACAACGTCCCAGGAAACAGGAACGTCAATGCGAGGTAAAAATTTGAAGGACGAATGAATAATTAAATTTGGCTTTCACCATCTTTTCGACTTAATAAAGAAGAAACTCTGCGTTTTTATAAATAAAACCTTTCTTGTTTATCTTCTTCTCGATTACCATTCCTTCCGAAACATGTTCTTCTAAAAAAATTAGCTTTTCTCGTTTTCCCTCGTGTTGCGAGTTGCTGGTCCCGGAGCGAAAACTTGCACTTTGAAAAGCCACCAAATAAAGGATTTCAAACCTCATTGCAGCGTTTTTATCCGGTTTTCAGCAGTTTCTTTTGCTTTTTATATCTGTTTTGCGTCATGTTCTTTTCTTTGAACAACCTTCACTTTTTATGAGGTCAGATGTTCAAACAACCTTCACTTTTGACGCCCTGTCTCTAGACTATCAACAGTATGCTCGACCCTGGTTATTACACCTCGAATCCATCCCTCGGTTGCTATTTCGTAAAACTTGTGCTTGTTACTTTATTGGCACGAATGACTAGTAAGTATTCTAGTAGTGTTCTGTCTTTTTGAAAAAACTAATTCTGAGCGGGGATTAAGTGTCTAGAGTTAGTTGTCTAGAGCTTTGTTTAGGGTCTAAAATTTAGGTTTAAAGCATAGTTAGGGTAATTTATGGAAAGCGTGTGCAGATCTCGCTGGGTTCTAAGGAACAAGTCGACGACCAACTGGAATGACCCCGGAGTCTCCTCAAATATTCCTGGAAACCAAAACCGACCAAATTTCTGACGAGGTGAAGTTTAACAAGACAAAGTGGTTTCATAAATTGGAGCCAACAATTTGATAGTATAGTAAGCTTCCGAATTTGTTTTTGTATGCACAATTCACTGCTCTTTTACAACGCATCTTTATATACAGTTACCTCTGATCAGTCCTTGCTTCTTATTACTGTTCGCGATGCCATGAGGATCAGTTGTTTTTATTTAAGCCTTTCCATCGTTCTCTTCCGTGCTGGTAGCTACTGAACCCGCAGTAGAAATAGTCGCCGTAACCTATCCACAGCCCTAGCCATTCCCTACGCCCTTCGCAGAAGAAGAACGGTGTTGCCGCGATTTTCTGTAAAGTTTTCATGAATCTAGTTCACAAAAGACACAAAATTTGCAGCACTATAGTTGGGGGTAAGCTTAGGAGTTGTTGTCCTAATGAGATTAGCAAACTTGATGCTGCCCTGCTCAAGGTTCTACGAAACCAAACTACAATTTTGAAAAATAGCTCTCTCCTATCACCAACTGCACTGAGTAGGATTTTTTAGGTTGTAAAGAAAGATTTCGTTCGTTTTGAAAAATATTTGAAATTTCAAGCTGCGGTGACTTTTAGAAAAACTGTCTTTTTCGAGAGTTGTAAAATTGTAAATTGTTGTGAAGGCAGCGTTGTCGATAAGACGTACATATTTGACTGGCTCCACGGCTCTTCATTTCAGGCCATTGGTATTCGCGGGGCAAAAAAAGGTTGCCTTGGAAATGTTGCTCATGCAGGATTTTCGATAAATGCTGGGCAAATATTAGGTTGGTGCAAAAATAATGAGCGTTTTTATTTTCTTGCTTTAACAAAGCAAGCAGACTCAACCCAACAAAGGGTAAGGGGTATTGTTCGATAGAGCAAAGCAAGCTCTACAACATGGCACTCATGCCTTTGCGCCATGCTCGATCCGCGGAGAGTACGAACTCAAAATCTAAAGATTTCCAAATGCCCAAAAAATCGAAAAAAATCAGATCTTCGTCCAAATAATTTCTACGGACCTCCCACTCGCTCACATCAATACTATCGATACCTGATATCCATATGTGCGATTGCCGTATTTCCTTGACTAGAAACTGAGAAAACGAAAATTTCCCTGATTTTCTCAAAGCAATGCTGAGCCGTTTTTGCATATGTAGTTCTATACTACAAGCCTAGGTAAACATAACTGTATATTTTCAGCCCATTCCAAGCGGTAGTTTTCGAAAAATAACGAATTCGGATTTTTTCGTTTCAGTTTTAGTGCTAAAATCGACATTTCTCGAAAAGTACCGCTCGAAATAGGCTGAAAAACTACAGTTGTGCTTACCTAGGCTTGTACTATAGAACTACATATGTAAAAACGGCTCAGCATTGCTTTGAGAAAATCAGGGAAATTTTCGTTTTCTCAGTTTCTAGTCAAGCAAAAAATACGGCAATCGCACATATGGATATCAGGTATCGATAGCATTGATGTGAGCGAGTGGGAGGTCCGTAGAAATTATTTGGACGAAGATCTGATTTTTTCCGATTTTTTGGGCATTTGGAAATTTTTAGATTTTGAGTTCGAACTTTCCGTGGATCGAGCATGGCGCAAAGGCATGAGTGCCATGTTGTAGAGCTTGCTTTGCTCTATCGAACAATACCCCTTACCCTTTGTTGGGTTGAGTCTGCTTGCTTTGTTAAAGCAAGAAAATAAAAACGCTCATTATTTTTGCACCAACCTAATATAATGCTACTTTGGTCCGAATCGCATAAAAATTCGGTTGTTTGAATTAAACATCCGAATATATTCGCACTCGAAATTCAAATCTTGGAGTTTTTCACTTTTGAATAATATTCGAAAACTCGAAAATTAAAAAACCGGGCTTTGAAGGAAATTTTTTGAGTGTTTAATTCCAATTCGTATTCGAACCCGAGTTCGGTGCAGGCAATTGCTGGGTTGTCGAGCTCCAGCAGTCTCGATGACAAATGTCTGATCAACATCGAGCTGCGAGCTAGGAATTGGTACGGGGGGGGGATGCTGATTGTAAATAAAAGTGGGGACATGGAATTGGAATGTGGAAATGAGGCAGGAAATGTTGCTCAAAGTAGAACAAAGCGATGAGTTCCATCAAAATATGTTAACATCGACCTGTACCAGCAAGTTTTTTAAGATTGTTCTAGATATTCAAATAGATCATATTCAAATATCTTCATATTCAAATTATTTTCCGAATGTCTAGCCATTCGTACAAACCATTCGAACATTTATTTGGTATGCGATTCTCAGTGTTCGATTATAGTCGATATTCGTTTTTTCGATTTTTCAAATTCGAGTTCATTCGATATTCATTATTCGATAGAAAAAATTCCGTGTTGTCCTAAACATATTGGAAAGCTTATATGCGATAGGTTATAGAGGATTAATCTTGCTGTTAGAAAACACAGTCGTCCTTACAGCGCCATCTGCAATTTTTTCACAAAAATTCAAAAATTCGACCATGTTTTTCACACCTTTTCTTCCAAGTAAATAATTGAAGTTCCGCCTTTGCACAAAGTTAGCAAAATTTTTGATTACTGCAAATGTTTTTTTAAGTGATGTCTTGTACATCTTTTGGGCCCATCACTTAGGCCTGGCGATCCTACAACTGACGTCAGCTGCAAAAGGAGCTACGGTGAGAGGTAATTGCCAGCCTTTTGTGCGTTTGCTGGTAAACTCGAGCGCAAGTGCGGCTTCAAAATGGCCAACTTTTTACAGCAAATGGAAGGCTCGACGTTGTTGCTCACTGCAAAACCTGGCATCATAAATGAAAAATCGTAAAATTCTTATCGTCGCATTGCTAAACTTTCTTTTTTGGTAGTTCAAACGAGGTCTGACATAGATAGAAACTTCTGAAAAGTTGGGCTTTCTTTTACAAATGCATACAAATATTATGCTTGCAAAAGTGTCCATTTTTCTAGGCCTATTTTCCAAACATTTTTTTCCTTCAAAATTTCTTTTTTAGATATAAATCCGCATATTATTAGAAAGCTTCTTTCATGTACGTTCTAACGGTAATAAAATTAAAGCTTTTATCTCATCCGTGAAAATTCTCGCCCATCTGCATTCAAAATAAAAATTTCGTTGCTTTAACTTCCTTATCCACAAATCAGTCGCAAATGAACGAATTCTTTAGAGAACATAACTACGTATGGAATGAATATTATCTACCTAATGCATGTTTAAATAATTTCCCGAATATATCTAGCCTGAGAAATCGATGCCTCAAAATGAATGTTCGCTGCATGGCACTCTATGGGTTGAAAATTCTTCCTTATTAAGGCAATCGCCGAGCTTCGCTCATTTCGTATGCTTGAGATCAGGACATCTTGCCTACGTTTTGCAGTAAAACTTAGCTATTCAGTGCATGAAGAATTTCAAATTTTTGTAGTTTGGGCCTTCTGACCTACCATAAGGCTCAAAAAAGTGAACAATTTTGGAGATCTATCTTTTCTTTTCACAGGTCCCCTTCGCTAAAGTTTTTTCTAAAAAATGTATACCACTGGCTTGCATCTACGAAATGAGCTGGTTAGCAGCCGTAGGAACAAAACTTGGAAGGGGTTGTAACCTCTCAAAGACGAGGTTCTCAAAAGAAGAACTCTCGGTTTTTTGACGCAAGGTTTTCTTCCCGTGTGCGATATCAGTATATGCAGTTGCGATCAGGTCACAAAAAGTTTACTGCTTTTGATGGTCTTGATTGTATCCCAAACATGAAAATTGGAGAAAGTCACAGCCTTTCAAATTAAAACTTTGCAAAACGGACATTGTTTTTGCAAAAACCCCCAAAGTCCTATCAAGTGCGAAAAAAAATGAATTAGAAAATGAAATTTCCAAAACTGCTTGGAAACTTTCTCAAACTGAGAGTGTGGTTTTCTTTCGGCTAAAAAGTGACCACTGTCAGCTTGTAACGTTATGGAACTTATATCGCTATTCAAAGTGTTACCTTTGAGTTTCTTGCTATTGTTAGGTTGTCCTACAGTTACTGTTTCTCGCTGAAACATACCATTCTCTCATTTGAAGATCTCCATCTTATTATTTGCTAGCGTAAAGCAGTACTACAACGTTTCATTAATGCGCTCAAAGTTTGAGCGATCCATGCGAGCCACGAAACACAAAGCCAAATTCTTAAGAATTTTTGAAAACGAAAAAAAGCATACGAAAAAACCATACCTCGTGGCTCAAAGTTAACAGAACAAATTTTCATACTTTCGCCAAAGCGGTGTTAGCTACTTATCCGTTATTCGGATCTATTTTTCCATAAGAGCTTCTTATTTAGATTTCTGTAAGAGCTTCTTATAAGGTCCCAAGCGCGCAAGAAAGAAATGTCAGAAAAAATTTACGTGTCGTGCCAGATTCGATAGGTTTTACCAAAAGTTTATGTTGTCGTTCTCCAATTAAGTGAACATTATAGGCAGTGTCCAAGCTAAAATTAGCACCCTCCGATTAGTGGCGATCCTGAATGTAGGCCCCAAGAGAGAGAGAGAGAGAGAGAGAGAGAGAGATTTGCATTGGTTCTGGCCTCTAATGTTGTCTCCGAATGGAGATAATGGGCCTGGAACAGCCAAAGTGCTATCAAGCCCCGCCCAGGTCCTATCAATCTTCCCCACCCAGGTACTGAAAGCCTCCAGATAGGGTTCCCAAAAATCTTTTTGTTGGGGATGGGGAGGCACGTTTTGTACATAAGAACTGTAATTTGGGACACGGAAAGGCCCCAGAATGACAGAAACATGGAGCGATATTTTGAATGGACGCTGCCTTCAACATTGTAGAAGTGTCACTGTTTTTAATGAGCACACTAGTTTCGTTCAAAACCGAGAAAAGCACAAAAAGACAATGTTGCCTTTTGCTTTTTTGTTTCTCAACTTATAGCCTCGAAAAAATGCAGCCATCACATATCACATTCAATGTAAAGAGCACAACGTCATCTATTTGAAAAATGTGATTAAAGTAGACTTTGTTATTGTTTCAATTTGGAATACATTAGGTCAAACATAAGTCCTGTTACACTATGTCTTACGACGATAAGTTATGAAAGTCGTTATAATATTGATAGGGCTCCGGAGTGCCATTCGATAGAACAAAGCAAGCCCTACAAGATGACATGCAAAAATTCGCACCAGCTTCGACCCACCGTAATTTTGCATTTAGAATCTGAGTCGTCCACGAAGCTCATAAAATCGGAGAACATTCATATCTCCGTCCAAAAAAATTCTATGAACCTCCAACTTGTTCACACAGATTGCACACCACATCAGACACTCATGTGTACCGTTCCTGGTCCTCATATAGAAATCAAGAAAATTTTCGTTTTGATTTTTGCACTTCCTAGATGAGAAAAAAATGCAGCAACGGTACATATGAGTGTCTGATATGGTGTGAAATCTGTATGAGCAAGTTGGAAATCCGTAGGATTTTTTGGACAAAGATATGAATTTCCTGCACTTTTTGGGCCTTCTGTACGACTCTCCGGATACAAAACGATGGGTCGAAGTTGGTGCGAGCTTTCGCATAACATCTTGTAGAGCTTGCTTTGCTCTAACGAATGGTTCCTGGAGCTCCATTAAAGTTATGAAGTGTACGACTAATCGTCGTGAGAAGTTGAAGTGTAACAAGGCTTATGTAACAACCTAATAAACTTCACGTAGAGTAACGAAAGTTTTCAGTTCTCCCTATTAGTTATTTGATAACTAGTAAAGTCGAGCAGATAAACCTCCAGACTTCCGATTTCTAGCTGGGAAAAAACAGTGTAACGTTACATCATAATGTTATTATACCCACATCGCAAAATTTTTGCCCTTCGTAATTCTTTTTGAACAGCGGTGGTAAGTCCTCGACTCCCATGTGATAGGGGCTGAAACATGAAGATGCATGAACGTTTTGGGGAGGGAAACCGTAGCTATCTAAATTACGTCGGTATACGGTATAATGTGATTTTCAAGTCAGTCCTTTGATGATGTACAAGTTTAGAGAATCCACAATACAACGAATCGGTGTGCATCTGAAAAAAATCTTCAAAGTGTTATAGGAAAAAACGTTCAAAATGACATCTAGTATTACCAATGCATCGTCCACTTAATTTGAGGCAGGGCTCAGCACAGCTGGCGCCGGGTCACGCTGGATATCGTTTTTAGGGCGGGAAGCAGAGGGGATATCGGGATTTTTTCGGGATCCGCGGCGGAGAAGTGCCGCAAGAATGCCACCGGCATGCCACCGGCAGGCTGTCCATCAACAAACAAAGGCCTCGTTTTCAACCAAAATGCAATCGTATGACACCAAATTTGGTGTATGCATGCGCGTTGGTTAACCGGAACTATAGCGCAAGAACTTGTGAAAACTTATGTGAATGATAGCTGTGCCGAACTTTTTTCTGAATTAGCTGGCACCGTGCCAGCTGGGTGCCAGCTCAGCTGGCACAGACACTTTGCTCACATAAGTTTTCATACTTTTTTGCATAAAATGTATCTACACTGTAAAAGATTACATACGGAGAAGAAACAGTTTCACAATGTTCTCTTTTCAGCGTTTTATAGCAATTTGAAAACCACTCGGTCTGCTCCGCAGTCGAAAAATCGGCTTTTTCCGCTTCTCAAGATGTAATTCGACCACTTAAAAAGCTCAGAAAGCTGTGAAAAGTTCTTTCATGAAATCAGAAATGCATGTACTACTACTTTTTTTTAAATAATATAAAAATGATGACGGGTCTTCAAAACAGGTCAAAATGGACTTCGTACGAAATTTTCAATATCAAACGGGACTTCGTTTTGAAATTTCCCTGGTACCAACTCGTGCCGAGCCCTGATTTGAGGGTGGTGAGAATATGGAACAAAAAGTGAATTCGCTTACAATAAGCAACTGCCGGAGTCTTAATATGAGCTCAAGGAAAGCCTGCGAATTGCGCACCTGTTCGTTTTGCCCATCGAAGTGGATGGTCTGAGAGTGATGCCCACAGAGGAACGGTCAGAAGGCATGATTAGCTTACTCAATTGATTTTATCGCGAAGGGATTGCCGCAAGTCAACCAGTACCAGTACAGGAGCCAACACTCCTGGTTGTTTCTCCTGACAATTCCAGCCTTAACACAACACATACGACAAGACCGATTTTTCGATTACTGCCGTTCCGGACCAGAGCCTTTTTCGCTCCGTCAAACTTACCACCCACCCAACGGTTGTACTGTCCGAAATGGCAGTCTTTTTGGAAAAAAATTCAAAATATGACTTCGAGAATGAATTTCCCCAGAGGAGTTGTCGAAGACGCTGATCAACAAAATTTGATTCAATTTGGTTTTTGGCCTTATACTTAAGGTTATGATAATCGTTCTGTACAAACTTAACATCATGGGACGTTTTGGGAAATTGTGTTTTGGGTTTATTTCACGTGCTGATCACAATTATACAGCTCACTTTGTTTGCTATTGTCCCAAAGTAGGGCTAAGCTAGCAGTACGGTAGAATTTCCGTGAAAATCAAGAAACTGGTGCAAGAAGACGATATTAGAACTTGAGACTATCATCTTCGTAATCAGCATGCTGCAAAACCTATATATGTAAAATTTGAGCTTTCTGGGAACACATCAAAAAATTGATAAAATCCATAAAATCATAGTTCTTTGACGGGCTAACATCAGTCTCTTGACCTTCAAGTATGTTTCATGCTTTTGATTCAAATTTTTAAAAACAGCATGATTCTACGAAGAATTTGAGCTGAAGTCTGTCCATATCTCTATCTAGGTATACCTACGTAACATTAAATTACAGATTTCAAGTATGGACTGCTGCGGCTGGAGCTTCGCCTATGTGTCCCCATTTATTTGGCAGAATCCCGCAGAATTCCATCGTTGACTGCAATGCTAGAGCTTGAGGAATCTTACGAACCACCGGGGTCGTATTGCCGTGAATGTGTTAAGGCCCGGTTTGCTTATTACTTCCGGACCACTAACGTTGATAGGCGTAACGACCCCAGCAGCAATACCTTTTGGAGTTTACACTCAATACATCTAAAGAGTTGCCTAAATCCCGTTGTAAAAGATGTAATTCTAAGCGTGAAATTTGCCCCGAAAGATGGCTACTCCTAGGGGTTGCCTTTCGACGTGGGTGCTTCTTGCATTAGTAAACCAGAAACTTGGCTCCAGAATATAAAATCTATTTTTTTAAAGAGAAGGGCAGATGCTTGTCTTTTTTGGTGCTATTAACTAATTCGAAATCCTAGCTCATTAACCTTAGACCACCTACGTTGATGGCGTTGCAATCCCAACAGTTCACCTCCTGAAGCAAATTTTCGGTCCTGAATAGACCGTTTACAGCGAACCTTCTGCATTCACTCAGTTAAGGGACCAGCTTTGTGCAGCGCCAAAATCGCACCACCTTCCGAATTTAGTGGACGCTGCTGAGTAGTGCACTTTCAAATAAATCTTAAGGTTAGCAAACTCTTGCATGAATCACATAACATTTGGTTATAATACGGAAGGCTCACCAGCTTTGAAACGCTCTTTATGTTAAAGCAAGCTCTGTGGAAAGCGTCCTCAATTGTCTTCCAGCGATTTTTGACAGCGAACCATTTACCGTCACAATAAACATCGGCCAAACATCGAATGACGGTATGAGCTCCTAAGATCTAAATTTATCAATCATCACCTATTACAACTAGAAAAATGTGACCTACGATGAATAAACGATATGACAACATTCTGATTGTGCTCACATATTCCTCAAGCACTTTTATACTGTTGAACTTCCCCAACATGCGGTTGTTAAATATAACAAAAAAGTGTTCACAGCCTTTATCGTCATTCGATATGACCGTAATCGGTGGAACACGTCATCCATGAGAATGATAGCACGAGACCTGCCACACGAGTATCGATGACATGCGGCTTGCTACAAACGCAATTCGTTAGCGCATTGCTGGACTCACAGCATTGATTTTCATGTTATGCCTATATTTCATTCTTGAAACGTGCATATGAGGAATTGATGGTTTTGTTCAAAGTTAACTGTATTCGCTTTCTTCCACAATGTTTTTTGAAAAGAAAATTCTATTTTTTTATTATCATAATGTATTCTTCATAATTGAGTGCTCGTTTTCGGCAAATTTCATCCAAAACAATCAGTACGATACTTCACACTAACGTATACGATGAATAAATAGATGAAAGTAATGTAATGATCTTCTAATAACTTCAAAAATAGAATGTACGACCTTACGTACACCCAATATGTGTACTGTTGATCTAATCGGTCGTAAAAAAAAATTTATTTTTGAATCGTCGAACGGTCAGGGATTTCGTGAGATTTCCGAATGTTTTTATTGCAACAAGTTACTTAAAGTTGCAGATTTGCAAAAACTCGTACATTTGCAGACTCTATAAATACATAAGCCATTTGATTTATTTGTAACTCTTAGTAAAAAATTGCCATTCTTTGAAATTATAGCTTTTTCATCTAACAAGGAAACGATACTTGGTGTTCGTGGCTTTCTGGGATGAGATGTATGCCGTTACACTCGTCTTGAAACGGTGATTCCAAGACTGACTTCCGCTTCTGCTAATCATTTCTCTGAAAAAAGTTATGGAGAATTTTCGCGTCAATGGTCGCCTGAGAGAAATACGGTCGAGGATGGCTAACTTTTAAAAAGAAGCTTGGTTGACGCAATGCAAAACTGAAAGATACAGAATGGCTCGAACCTAAACCTGCATTAACGTGTGAGGCTATTCACTAGTCATTACACCACATCTCAGCGGCACTTTTGGCATTTCGACCATATCCGCCTTAACGCGAAAATCCTTTATAACTTGAGAAACGATTAGCAAAAACGAAAGTCGGATTCAGAATCAGCGCTCCAAGGCAAGTGTAGATGGTATGCATCTCATCTCAAGAAGCCACGGACACCAAGTATCGTTTCCTTGTAAGACATTTTGAACAGCCACCACTTTGGCTTATGAAGCAAGCCACTACTGAAACTTTAGGCTTTCTGGATGAGAAATGAATAATTTATACGAAGAACGCAGAAACAGTTCTGAAGATCAAAGGTGATTTTGCAGATGTTGTTTAAAATAATTAGAATGAAAGATGATTCCAAAGTGATCAGAAAGGAATAACATTGATTGAAGCTTGATTGCTTCAAAAGCGCAGAGCACAACCACTATAGCAGGCACTCAGGATGGGCGTTCAGCTCATCCGCATACGGTAGGCAAGTGCCAGTTGGCACAAGCTACCATTAGTGAGGCGCTTTCGTGGTTTTGCCAAAGGTTAATGTCTTTATTTGCAAATAACACCTAAAATTGCACTTTTGGTTGCGTTCAGTGATTGCAACGCTGCTATATACTAGGTCACATCAAGGCCGGTAGTAATCCCCCCGACCTGGCGGCAGGTCTCGTCGGCAGGTTGCTGGCACCCTTTCCGTGAGGTGGCCAGAAAGTGAAACTCCAAATTTAGGCCGTCCCAGGCCTATTTCCAAAATATTTTCTCGATAAAGATGCCGCCTAGACCCTGTAGAAAACTCCATAAAAATCTGCGGTTTTAGAAATCCTTCTGTAGAAAAATATTTGGAAACGCAGAAGGAGCTGCCGGCAACTTCGCGATGTCAGTTGCCGGCAACCTGCCGGCAGCTCGTCGAAATCCGCGAGATGGCAGCTGCCGGCAGGTCAGAGAGCAGCGGAAATAGCGTGCTCTTTTGAGAGAGGGAGCTGCCGGCATCTCGACGTGCCCCTACCACGTCGAGGTGGTGGCACCTTTGCCGACAGTATCTGCGAGTTTGCGAATTGCGGCGATATCACACATTTTACGTCAGGCGAAAAAATCAAAAATTCTACTTTTCGTCAAAAAACTATCATTTTTCTCATTATATGAGTTTTTTCTTTCTTAACAAGGATTTTCGTACAGAGAAAAATTCCAGTGATGCCTTAGAATCATAAAGAACCTCCTCTTTCTTTGGCAATCCTTACAAATCTCGTTTGCACCGATTTCGCCCCTCTCTCGCTCATATCAATCAGCTGTTCTTTCA